AATAATAATAATAATAATATTGTCATCCCTTCAAATTCCACTTATTATTTACTATTATTGTTATGGTCATTCCTCCATATTTCACATATAGTGTAAATCCACCCAAAATCAACTCAATGGCAGATCGCAACAGGGAAAAAAAATCCTCACCTTAAGAGCGTGGTAGAGTTTTGTGGCGAAATAGAGGGGTGTGTTTTGGAGAACGGAGACTGCAAAAGAGGACATATATATGTACAACATATTATTTTTAATTTAATTTTAATTTTTTACTATTATTTATATTCCTTTTTATTTATAGCTTATTATTTATTTTATTATTTTATGCATTGTTTATTTATTTTTATTTTTTTGCGGTGGGAAAAGTCTTAAAAATTCCAGCAAGTCGCAATTTTACATTCTGTTGCAACTCAGAGTAAGCTTCACCTTGCTTCCAAACACCGTCACACAAGAGCTGTAGTTTTATAGTTTATTGAGGAAAAAGTCCAAGTCAAAATAAAGAAACCCCAAGCGTGTTGCTTTCCAGCTAAGGTTATTCCATGAAGCTTTCAGGCTAACAAACTACGTTGAACTGACACTTTCCCTTCGTTTGCAAGAAGCCTAAATACCTTTTGCTAACATGAAAACATTATGCTCTCACCAACATGAAAGCATTGCAATGACCTTTCCCCGAGCTGGCTTCTCGTCTGCTGGCTAGGCGAGAACTCCTCCTGACCCGCAAATCAAGACAGGCTTGCTGAGTCAGGTCACTATCAAGGCTTTCTGCACTTTCACTATCAGCGTGGGAAGGCAAAGGCCTCTCCACCTGTTCGCTATCTACTTCGTTAGCATTCCTTTCTTCCGAGAAGTCTGTGGGAGCCTCAGAAAAAAACCTAGGAGCAGGCACAGGGATCCGAGGCACAGAAAAAGAGCCAGGAATCTGAATCCCATCATCCTCATCGTCAGAGAACATCTCAGGCCCAGAATCACGCTGAACCACAACACATTCCACTTTCAGCCGAAACTCCAATGTGTATAATGTATGCAAAAAAGGAACCAATGAATATTCATTGGTGGTAGTTTGCATCGTTCGTCGCAACGAGCAAGAGAGAGAAAACCTGCCGACGAGACTTCCCTGGTCACCGTTCCCGTGCTTTCAAGACTCCTTGACATGATAGAATATGGATTTAGAGCATTTAGACCCACCTTCAAAATAAACACTACACCCAAACAGGTTCACCTGCCCGACAGGTAGCTGAATTCGCACCCAGTGAGCTCCTGTGCATGCACAGAGTGCTTTCCCACATCCCATTCTGAAAAGGACTGGGTTGCATTCAGATTTCCGATTCTTTTGTTGGATCGACTCTACAAACCATCCAGCCCCGTCTGGGGATGATGGGAGTCGAAATTAAGGGACTTACCCAGCGTCAAGCCGGACTCTCGGTCAATCCCCTGGAAGTATTTTTCAACAGCATCTTCGATCCGCCACCCAGTTGAATTGTGGTAACAGCTGAACACTGCGGAGAATAGGACAATAGTGTCGAGATTGTGATGTGTGGTTGGAATGAAATTGTGTGAATTGTGTGAAAAGTGTGTGATGGAGGCCTATCAAGTCTGAAGATACCATTCTACGAGGGTTGAATGAAAAGTACTGGTATGCGGCAGGTACTGGCTTGTTCAGTAGACTCTCCTCTACAGTTCTATTTTGGCAGGAAGCCTTAGCATTGAACGGTTGTGTTGTTAAAGTGCGAAGTATGGAATCCTGCGCAGACGGTCAGTCAATGCGACTTAAGCAACGTGCAGTCATTGAATTCTTGACAGCAGAAGGTGTCACCCCAAAGGAGATTCATCAGAGAATGCAAGCTGTTTATGATGATTGTGTTGATGTGAGTACTGTGTGTCGTTGGGCGAGTAAGTTTAAAGATGCTGAGGTGGGATCATCTGACTTGCATGACAAACAAAGAGTTGGACGTCCTGTGACAGCAACCACCGAGTTTCACAAACAAAAGGTTGATAGATTGATTCAGGACGATCGTCGTATCACTCAGAGAGAAATTTCAAGCATAATCGGCATTTCACAAGAACATGTGGGTCACATTATTGGTTTGCTTGGCTATTGGAAGATCTGTGCATGATGGGTACCCAGGATGCTGACTCCTGAAATGAAAGTGCACAGACTTCTTCCGTGACGGCTTCAGAAAACTTGTTCATCATTGGCAGAAATGTATCCAATTGTCCGGCGATTACGTGTGGGTCACATTATTGCTTTGCTTGGCTATCGGAAGATTGTGCACAATGAGTTGGGAAAACAGTGTCGACTTCTTCTGTGACGGCTTCAGAAAACTTGTACATTGTTGGCAGAAATGTATCCCATTGTCTGGTGATTAGTGGTAGTTAAAGAGGACGTTCTAAGGATTGTTTCTGCGTTTGATTTATTAAAATATTCCCATCCAATCCCAAGTAACAAAGGTGGGGGCATTACTTTTCATTCAACCCTCGTAAAAATATCGAAGCCTAGAAAACTACAAAAAGGAGGTGAAGAATTAATGAACTGGGTTGTTGCAGGTTTTTTCAGGCTATATGGCCATGTTCTAGAGGCATTCTCTCCTGACGTTTTGCCTGCATCTATAGCAAGCATCCTCACCTCACTATCTCTGAGGATGCTTGCCACAGATGCAGGTAAAACGTCAGGAGAGAATGCCTTTAGAACATGGCCATATAGCCCGTAAAAACCTACAACAACCCAGTGATTCCAGCCATGAAAGCCCTCGACAATACAATTCATGAACTGCTGAACTGCTGACATGACCAGAGACAATGATTAACTCTTGGTTGAAAACAACATGTTTACATAGTTAAAGGCAATGATTCTTTAAGTAATTGAGGTATTTACAATGTTTTTTTACATTAAGAAGGAAAGTCAACATCTGTTCGGAACTGATGGAATGAGCATGTTTAGATGGGAAAAACAACCTATCGGTCATTTACAACTTCTCAGAACAACAACAGCCGAAAATTTTGCTATATAAGAGACCTTTTTACTATCCAAAAGTGTGGCAGATATGCAGGAGTACAGGTTTTGTACACCAAGGGATGGAGAAAGGTGGTGTATTCGACAGAAAGGCAGATTTGTAGGGAATGCAATCTGGCTTATGTTTGGTTCTCTTCTCCAAGAGAAGAAAGAAGGGATGGTAATGTATGCATGATGAACGAATGAATGTTGGAGTATATGTGAATGTTTCTCCAAATGGTCAAATGTCTGGAAACATGTACCCAGCTCCCTCGTCTGTTCTTCATAGGGTTTGAAGAACAGACGAGGGAGCTGGGTACAAAAACAACAATGCCTCGGCTTTGAAGATTTGGGCTTGCCTCGATTGAGGTGTTCAGGGCTGCGTTGAGTGAGGACCCGGATCCAGTCGCTCTCCTTCGGCCTCCCTGCATCACCGCCGCAGTCTTCGGTGAGAGCCTAAACAAACACACGAGACTGAGTGCATTCGGGGAGATGTTTCCCAGCAAATTGTCCTGCCGTCCAAACCACCAACATCCTCCCCAAAAGGTAGACCTTTTCTCAGCTTTTCTTGCGGTAATGGGTTGTTTCGCTTTTGTTTACAGTCGGCCCTCTCAGTCTGTGCCTTCAGGTCCTGGTGTTTTGCCCAATTTGCCATTCTTTGAGCATTGATCGGCTTCATGTCTCGTTCAGCTGTGCTATTTATTATAATAATACATATTACACTGTACCATTATTATCCGCCAAGGGTTCTGGAACCAATTCGACATGGACACCGAGGGACGATTGTATTCTCCCGCCTTAGAATTGCGTTGGAGGATCTACAAATCCTAGAGACGTGTTCCCTCGAGGAATTTCTAGCTCCTCCTATGCAACTCTATGGACAACTTCAACTTGAAGTTGACCATACAATTGCATTGGAGTACTGACAAATGCCCAGGGAAGTACTCTTCCAAGGAATTCATAGGTTCACAGCTTGGGTGTGATCCTGGACTCATCGCTGAGCTTGGAACCCCAAGTTTCGGCGGTGACCAGGGGAGCATTCGCACAGCCAAAACTTGTGCACCAGCTGCGCCCATACCTTGGGAATCCTGACTTGGCCACAGTAGTCCATGCTCTGGTTACATCCCGTATAGACTACTGCAACGCGCTCTATGTGGGGTTGCCTTTGAAGACTGTCTGGAAGCTTCAAATGGTCCAATGGACGGTAGCCAGATTGCTAACAGGAGTGGTGCTGAGGGAGCATACAACTCCTCTGTTGTGCCAGCTCCACTGGCTGTCCTAAATGGTTCTGGCCCCACTTACCTGTCCAAACGCATCCCCCTTATGAACCATCTAGGACTTTAAGATCATTTGGCAAGACCCTACTCTCGATCCCACCCTCATCACAAGTACCTTTGGCGGGGATGAGAGACAGGGCCTTCTCTGTGGTGGCCCCTTGGCTATGGAACACCCTCTCTAAAGAGATTAGATCAGCTCCCTCACTCTTAGTGTTTCGGAGACATGGTTATATGAGCAAGCATTTACAAATGCAGAGTAATTGACATAGGAAATGGAATCACTCAACAATGGAACTTGGACAACGTTATTTAACTAGGAGACACTGATGATAATGATGTTGGTTTTTATTGTTTTTATTGCTTCTATTGTGGTTTTATACTGTTTTAATGTTTAATTTGTATTTTTTTTGTTATGTGTACTGACTTGTAAACCGCCTTGAGTCGCCGATAAGGCTGAGAAAGGCGCCATACAAGTGGAGTAAATAAATAAATAAATAATATTTATTTGGGGCAATTGCGAGCAGATCTCTCTTGGCATTGGCAACCTATTCCTTAATGCTATCCTTCCCCGTAACAGTCCAGTGACAAAGCAAAGCCCAAAGCAAACACCCAACAAGGGTTCAGCAAGGCTTGCCATCCATACAGCCACCACCCTATGTGCCATTCAGTCCCTTCTACCTAAAATGTGCAGGTTCGGACGAGCAAATGTGTTCCTACACCACATGCTAAAGAGAGCTTCCTAGAATGGATGGGGAACCTCCACTTTGGCCCCTATCGCTAACCAGATAACGATGACCAATTAATAATATTAGTTAATTACTAATGGACAATTAATAATATCAATAATTTTATTGCTAATTATTTATATTAATTCATAGTAATATTGATTAGTATATTAGCTAAATATTAATAATTAATATTAATTAATTAAATATTAATTATTAATTAATATTAATTAATAATGAATTAATAGCATTCAATGGCCAATGTATTTATCATTTATTATTTATTAATATTAATTGGTATTAATAATTAAACTTTTACAAATTTTGACACTTTTTACAAATTTTGCAAACTTTTATAAATTTTGCACATTTAATTTTTTTTTTTTAAAAAAAAGAAATATTGCCWTTTTTACAAATTTGGCAGGTTTTAATGTTTTAGAAATATTGTAATTTTTTTTACAAATTTGGCAAACTGGGATACGTTTTGCAAATCTTGACCAATTTTGATCAATTTTGCAAAATTTTGTGCATTTTACACATTTTTATAAACTGCAAATTTTGCAAATTGCCTATTTTTATTTATTTTTACAAATTCTGCACATTTTATAAATTTGGCACATTTTGAAAAGTTTTAGAAATATTGAATATTATTTTTTTTTATAAATTTGGCCAATTTTAGTAAGCTTTGCAAATTTTCACAAATTTTGCACATTTAAAMAAAGAAATATTGCCCTTTTTTTTACAAATTTGGCAGATTTTAATGTTTTAGAAACTGTAATTTTTTTTACAAATTTGGCAAACTTGGATAAGTTTTGCAAATCGTGACCAATTTTGATAAATTTTGCAATTTTTCACATATTTTACAATTATTTATAAACTGCAAATTTTGCAAATTGTGATAAGCTTTGCCTATATTTTTGCAAATTCTGCACATTTTATAAATTTTGCACATTTTGAAAAGTTTTAGAAATATCTTAATTTTTTTTTACAAATTTGGTGAATTTTAAGTTTTGCAGATTTTCACAAATTTTGCACATTTTTTTATAAATTTTCCACATTTTGAAAATTTGGCCAATTTTAGTAAGCTTTGCGAATTTTCCACATTTTAGTAATTAATTAGTAGCATTAAATGGCCTCCTCATGGTTGAAGACGGGCCTCCCCAGTAGTGTCTCACCTTTGTATCTTGCTTTATCAAGACGTAGTCAATGACTCCGGTGTATCTTTCCCGGTTACCCTTTCGGAAGCAGAGAAGGCGACACAGAATGAGAAAAATCTGAATTAATTAATCAAATTGATAGGACAAACTCTGCTCAGTTTTGGAAAGAATTGTAGCATTTGTTTGTAAACTCCTACAATGGGAACCATGGGGGGCAGGAGATGAGAAATAACCTTTTTTAGGGCATATCTATACTATAGAACGAATGCATGTTCACACCACTTTCATTCCCATGGCTCCTGGGAGTTGTAGTTTTGAAAGGTCTCCATCCTTCCCTTCCAAAGAAATATGGCACCTTCCCAAACTACAGATCCCAGGACACCGTAGTATTGAGGTAGTAGTGATGTGATACATCTTGGTGTTCCAAGATCTCACCGGGTTCCTTCCTCGTGGTTCCTCATCTCCGAAAACTCAGAGACTGAGCCAAGAAGGAGGAAATCTTCCGCCATTCTGACATTCCTGATTGTGCAAATATTGACGAAGGGGTGTGAGCAAGAAACACAAAATTGCACCACGCCGCCCACTTCCATACATGCAGACAGAACGTCAATGGGTTAAACGCATTCCTGAAACGTTGCCAAGCTGCTTCTATGGGGCTGGTTGAATAAATTTGTGCAGGAATCCAGCCAAGTACTCAAAAGTCAAAGGAATGATCTCCCTTTCCTTTGCCAAGCTGCAAGACGCACAGAATGCCTAAGACCCTATCATATAGGGATTTTGGGAGGTGCAACCCAATGCCTGTATTAGTGTGCGATTCCCATTCCAGTGCTGAGCTCGGGATCAAATACGTCAAAGATGGGCTGGGGATGATGGGAAGAGCAGGTTCCCAGTGCCTGAATTATGACATCTGTAGCTCACACACGGATGGGTTCATTCACCTGGATCAAGGCAACCAAGAGGTCCTTCAGGAAGCCGCTGGTCCTCAAACTGATGTCCGTCTCCAAATCCGACTTGAAATCTAGGAATGGCAAAGGAAGAAAGATGGAGGCAAGCTCGGGTTAACAAGGAGAAGTATTTACGAGTACTAAGAAAACCTAAAGAATTCTCACCACACTAACCTAAACTGTAAAAACAAAGACAGACAGACAGACAGACAGACAGACAGACAGACAGACAGACAGACAGACAGACAGATAGATAGATAGATGACAGACAAATGAATGGATCACTGAATGGATAGGTAGAGGCAGGTTTATAGAAGGATGGATGGATGGATGGATGGATGGATGGATGGATGGATGGATGGATGGATGGATAGATAGATAGATAGATAGATAGATAGATAGATAGATAAG